AAACAATTATTTTGTGAAAGGGCTCTAAAATTTTAATTGTGTGTTAACTTTTTAAATTTTGAAGTGTTTCTTACAATTGACTGAAAAATGTGATGTAGTTAAAGTAATAGCATCAGAAAAATCTATACTAATGAATATATAATAATGAATATGAAATAAAAAATATTGCTTTTTCTTATATACTCACCACCATTTACTAATTTGTAAAAAAATGACCATTTTTTTCCAAACTGAGTGAAATTTTAACCTTTTTATAAAGTAGTAAATTATGTTTGCAAAAAAGTAATTTAGTTATATTGTAAATTTTAATTCAGATGAGGCAGATTATATCAAGAAATTTAATATCTTATTAAAATATTGAAAATTATTTTAAGATGATTCTAAATTTCAAAACTGTAAATATTGAGGGATATGCTAGCATAATTTTTATTTTAAATTATTGTAAATTAAAAATAAGTTTGAATAGAATGTACTCTCTTATTAACAAAAACATACTATCTATCATATTTTTGAGTGAATATTTTTTATTTTATTTATGAAAGCTGTAATATGTATAAAAAGTATAATATATTTAAATTTTAAGATTTTGCATAAAAATTATTACATTCTGTCTATGTATACAAATATCCAAGCGATTGTAAATGAATAAAGTATGTTTGAATATCGATCTGGATTTGCATATTTTTTGTTAATATTTTTAAGCTATGTCATTATTTTTACATTTATTAATTAACTTCAAATTTATTTTTTCCATAAGCCAATGTAGTTGATATGGTAATGTTTCTTTAATTAAAGATTGGGGGTACTCTTTTATATAAAATTTTATTTGTGAAAGTAATATTTTCATTTTTAAATAATTTCAAACTACATAAATAAGAATTTCCTAAAATTAAAATTCTCTTTAAAACATTAGTGGTACTAACTCTACAGCATCTGTTGGTTCTTTTACGAATGAAATGTAAAATAGAATTTTAATTTTACAAATATCAACTTGAAGAAAGAAAAAAAAATTTTATGAAAGAAAATATTTTTAAAGCGGCAAAAAGCAGAGAAAGTTAGCATCATTATTAAATTATTATAAAAAAAGAGAAGATAATTTAAGTCAAGATCATATAAATCAAATTATAATTTAATTATTTAAATCCATAAAAATTTTTAAAAAAAAACTATTTTTATTTTAGATGTGTTTATATATATATATATATATATACACTTTTTTTTTAATAAATATTTACTGTTTAATAATTAGCTGTCAGAAATACTGTTAGTACTGTTTTTATATCTGTTTCATATTGTTTTTGTTTTATTCCTGCCTATTTTTATTATATATTTTTTTCTATTTATCGCATTTTTTTCATTTTGAAATTTCATTCTTTTATATATGTATAAACTTTCGTTTTTTTTTCAGTACTGTTTCTGTTTATGTTATATAGATGAAAATTAAGTAAGTGATTTCAATTCTTTTAATATTTAGGGACAACTATTACAGTTTTTTCTATCTTTATTGTTACAAAGTTATAAGAGTTGATTGCAATAATTTTTTTAAGTAAGGTGCCACATTTTGTTTTCTAAAGAAAATTGAGAAATGTTAAAAAAAAATTATATTTAAAGTTCTCGAGTAGACAAAACTTTTATGCGTGGCTGGAATTTGAAAGATTCCAGGGTAGTTCGGATTATAGAGATTTTACTGTAATATAGATTTCTGATAGTCTTTCTGTCTCTTACATGTTTTATTTGCAATGATATATTTTATAAGTTTAATGTCAGTAAGGGTTCAACTTATTTTTGAAATTCTGAAAAACTTTATTTTACACTGGATCAGTATTTCAGGGGAATTGTATTTTATTATCAAAGATTCACTTTGAAATAAAGTAAATTTCAGATTAAATTTTAATTTATGGTTGATAAAATTAAAAAAATAATGGAATAAAATATTTCACTATATAAATCCCAATAACGTCAGTTTTGCTTAGTATCTAATACACTTTAAGATTCTAAATTAACAGAAATTTCATCTAGCATTACTGGTTTGAAAGATAAAACCCTAGATTCAAAATTTCATAAGATAAAAACGTTATTTATACTACACTTTTTACATAAAATTACTTAAGAAGTACAGAAACATTTTTCGCATTTTAGAACTAAATTTTGTAGTGTATATGATATTTTGAGAAATGCTTTACATAAATAATATGAACAAAGGTACGAAAGGTTTTCCGGTAACAAAGTATTAATTTTTTCCTGTTTAGCTCAGCAAAAAAAGCATAAAAAGTTTGTACCAAAAATTACTTTTGGATAAATTTTGCCATCGAAATCAAAAGTTGGAGTTTTTCCTCGAAACGTTAGCAAATTATAGCAAATAGATCGCCCAAAATTTCCTAACAACAAGCCACATAAAAAGATATAGCGCGATAAAAAACTACTTGATGACGTAGGCAAAAGTTTGAACCTTGAGCATATCGGTCTTTAGCATATCGGCTCTAAACGTGGACGCTTAAAACGTCTACAGAACCAATTGTAAGTTAGTAAAAAATAAATTATTAAACATTGTGTAAAATAATATAAAGATAATGTTTGTTCTACCAAAACTTTATTTACATTTTTATCATTGCACATATCTCATTTAATTATTTCATGTTATATCTCATGTCATAACTAGAAACAACAAATTTGAATTTTGAGATTGAACGTTTGCCCTTTGTAGGAAATTGTGAGCCCCAAGTATATGCTATTTTACCTACCAAAAATAGATACAGAAAAATCTATTTTTATTTTCCTATGATTAGGAGTTTTGATTTTCGCCTTCAAGCAATAGCTCATCGTAAGAAATTGTCAGACCCATAAATTTTGTTTTGTTAGCAAACTTATCAAAAATGCAATCAAAACTAGTTTTACTCAATTTTCGACAAAGAAATTACAATTTATGACCTAAATACTCTAAGTATGAATTTTCCCTGCTGTAGGCTATTACAGTGTTGTACGTTAGCATTGCTTATAATCTTCCCCTTCAATTTGTCTGAGAAAAATGAGCAAATTACATTATTAACAGAAATATGGAGCATCGCAAAATAACTAGCAATTACATGCTATCTTCATCATAAAGACTATAATGCCTAAATCTATTTTGGAATTTGTCTGTCCCTCTAATAGGACTTTTCATTTATCATTACTAGTTGACAACATAAGATTATATAAAGTTAAACATTACCAGTGTAACCATTTAGATGTTCATAATTCGTTCTAGGACGCCATTTTATGATTCCTCAATTTTCAGCTTTCTATCTCGATCAATTTTGCAAGTAATTCCTTCGGATTTTTTTATTGATTGATTAATATTTTCAACTAGTTATAAAACAAAAGTAGTCGACTTAATTAAAATTTTACAATGTGGTGAAATACATTTTTCTATCGTTTAAGTCAGCAATATGCGAAAAAAAGGAATGGGAAGGAATTTATAACTGCTAAAAAATACTGGAACTTTTGTTTCCTGCTGTTCAAAAATGCATTTGTGAACATGCAACAAGCTGTCAAATATGGTAACTTGATTTACTGAAAGGACATTGACCATAAGACGCAAGAGTTCCAATATTTGATCAAAACAATATATCGATTTGAGAATACCTCGATATGTGACTAGACATGCATTTAGAGCAACAAAACTAGAGATTTCCACGCTTTGAGAATACTACGTATTGAGACTACCACCACTTGAAACATGACTTGAGTCTCATGACTTTCAAATTGAAGACTTAAACTCAAGTCATGTAACTTTCATGACTTGAGTAAAACAGCCTTAACTTGAGACAAACACAAACTGAGACTGATTCAATCTAAGAAAACCTGAGACCAACTTGAGTACACCACAGACTGAGACTTCCAAGTCTTCAGACTTCAGAATATTACGATCCGAGACAATTTAGTCATAAGATAACCACAAACATGAGACTTACATGACTTGAGACTACACAATCAATTAATATTATATCTATCTCACATGTTTATTTGGAAACTAAAATAGACATTAGCTTGCTACCAAGTGCAAATTTAATTTTTCACCCATCTACTTTTGAATAAATTTATGCCTTGCACTTTTGTATTTAAATCTGAAATTTATTTATTAATATTAATTGAATTTATGGAAACACACTTCGTAGAGTTAAGCATTAGTTTTGAACAATGGTACAACAACCAGAAAACTAAAGCATCGGAAGCTAAAAAATTGGTAAAAAAGCAGCGACAAAAATTTCTCTTAAATTTTTCATTGATTGCAAGACAGAACAAGTAGAAAAAACAAATTTCGTACTTTTAACAATTCATGTTTGTACACCGGCGCCTTTCAACACTAAAATACTGTAGATCAATTTTAAACCTAATTTAAACTCTGTTGGGCTGAAATTCAATTTAAAGAATTTATGACTTTTTTAACCATGAAAGTGAAATTTTTTCTTATAAGCTCAAAATCACGTCGTTACGAAGACAATATATAATTTTTTTCTCGATCGTTCACCGTTAAAAAAGTTTTATGTCCAAAAATGTTTCAGCTAATTTATGACTTGAAAATAATAAATTTTAACTTTTTCAAACGTTAGGTCATTGTAATTATATGTTAGTCCAAGAAAACCATCGTTAGTACTCCATTTGAAAAAAAAAAAGTTGCGTCCAAATCATGTATTAGCTTACTTTAGATTTTCGTTAATCCAAAAGTCAAAATAAGTTAAAGCCAGAACAAATGTTTTCTCGTTAACACTCGAGATAGCACAAGTTTTATATTTTCCGTCAAACCTTAATTTATTGTAAGAAAACGTTAGCACTATGTTAGCAGAATCAACTTTAGTTAGCCTTGCCGTTAAATCATTTTAATGATATTCTTTTCATAATAATTCATTATATAAATTCTTTTTCATTAAATAGTTATAGCCGTTTGTAAACGCTTGATTCATTTTGAACTACCCTGCATTTTCAAAAACCCGACAATTGCAGATTCATAATAAAATTCTTACCAGAACTAGTGGTGTATCAGAAAATTTTGATGAAGTCAATGCCATGTCTCCTCACAAAGACCAATACAACATGTCCTGTAAAATGCAAAAAAACATTAAGAATCCAAATAAAATTATCAACGTTTCTAAAGAGACAATTAAATAGAAAGAATCACTGTTAATTTACGCAACGTCTATAAGTATCATTTATTAGTTAGGAAGGAATATACAAATTATATGAAGCACTTTCACTCCCATACCTCTAATAACCAAAATTAGTCCACTAAGAAAAACAAGTTTTAGTTAATTTATGGCATAATAAGAAGTATGAAAATTTATCGTCGGTAGTTAGCCTAAAAAATGTTTTTGTTAGCCTACCCACCAAAAAAGGTCAAATCTAACTTTTAAGTTAGAGAGTTTGAAATTTGAATTCAAACATTAGTCTACTGAATAAATTTTTAAGCACACGTTAGACCTAATAATTAAAGTTAACCCATCAAATTAAATAAAATTAGAACTAAATCTAGTTTTAAACACCCTTTAACCTTCAAACTAATGAAATTTTTTTCAAAGTTTAGTCTACTGAAAAAAACAAAAGTTTTTGTTATCGAATTCATTTAAGGAAAAATATGTTTAAGTTTTAGTTAACACTACAAACAAGTTTGAACTTTATTAAAAAACGTAGACCGTCGTAACGTAGAACGAAACGTAGTGCATCGTAGAAAATCGCTAGCCAAGAAAAAAACTGTTTGCTAACATACCAAAAATAAAAGTTTTGAGGAAAACTAAAAATTTCTCTACAACAATGATAAAGATAAATAATAGTTTTCTGTAAACAAGTTCGTCATGATTAAATAATTATTAGTTAATCGTCTTTTAAGTTAAAATCGTTACGTTTTAGAATCTTTGAAATTTATTTATAATATTAACTTTAGTGTTACTTTATAAAAACTTCCTGTTCAAAAGACTTAAAGACATTTATTTTCATTTCTTGAATATAGACTGATTTGTGTGTTTTTGATACATTTTCATTTATATTAATTTGTAGAGGATAGCAAATGATTACAAAATAAGCAACAATATTTTGTAATTATATGGTATATGGCTTAAATTACGTTGAATGACAGTGCTTGAAAAGGAGTTACAATTTTTATTGAACTCCTTTTCAAGCACAATTGAAAAAAAATTTGAACATATCCTATTGGCTCTAAGAGTTAATGCTGTGTACAAAACTATTTTGATAGTCAAGTGTCATTGTACTTTATCTTTATAAAAAATATTAAAGTATTGAATTTCACATATTCTTGTATCAGTTTATGCTTGAATGTTCAATTCAAATATAAAGGACTTGAGGATTTTGTACTATATATCTACTTTTCTTATAAAAAGAGAGAAAGATTAAAATTTTTCCTTGAGACTGGATATAAATTATACTCTTTCAGTGTTTTCATTACAGAAAAAAAAAATGGGAGAGAATTTCTCACCCTTTCTCAAAAACAGGGTGAGATTTCAAAAAGTTAAGTGAGATTTCTAAAAATTAAAAAAAACACGAATAGAGTAGGAAAAAAATTATTTCTTTAATTATAATACATTTTTAACATCTTCTAATTGAATATTTTTGCTGCATCATCATATGGAAAATTTCTATATCTACTTTTTCAACAGCCATTATATTTATTTGGTTGAAAAATATCCGTATTTGTTTCGTTTTGACCGTTTCTACTGACATTTGTTTCATTTTCATTTGTCCACTACGGAGTAGAAGATTTCGCCTTAACAAGGTATTTGTTCATCTTACATTCATGCACAATAAATGTAAACTTGTTACATAAAGAAACCTTACCTACGGTGAACATGTGGTTGCAGAGAAATGTGCTCTGAATGGGGTTCCGTGGGTCGGGGAGGGGGTGTTCTGCTGTTTGCACCGGTTCTGAACAATACTGGTAAATAGGGAAGCTAGATAACAAGGACCGATGTTCAAAATAATGAAAGATCAAGGAAGAAAAGTGAAACGGAATTTATTCAAAATGGCAAAAGTCGAAATTTTTTCCAAAACTTGTGCATTTTGAAATTTATTAATAGAGTGCCTCGAACTTCTCGCGTTTATAATTTTTTATTGCGAGAAAAGAAAAAAATATGCGAGATTCTCGTGTTCTCGCTCGGTAGTGAAAACACTGTATATATATATATATATTTGTTAGAAATACCTCAATGTTTAACAAAAATGTTTTTTCATAAAAATCCATATTGTCTTTTACAAAAGTCCAGACTATGTTTCAAAATATTACAAAAACGAGACTCTGGTATGAAAATCTGGATTGGTTTCTGATTTTACTACCATTATAAAAGCAAGTTTGAACAGGTATTTTAAGAATTTCTTATATTCCGCATTTTAACAGTTATCATACTGCATTATAATGTATGAATTACTTTTTCAACCAAAGCATTTATTAAATATAGAATGAATAACATTTGAATCACTAACATGTCTCCTGCTTCTACTAAATATTTTAAATAAAACAAAGGCATCACCAATACAGAGGAGTTTATATTAGGGAGTTAATTTGCACAAACTGTGTTTCAAACTCTTTTTTGATATATCTAACAACTTGTTTTTAGATTCCTTGGCATATGGAGAATTTTTAGTTTCATTTTTGTTTTTTAATTTATCAGTAAGAACAATATTATTTTGTAAAAAAAAACAATAACTAGTTACACATAGTATCAGAACTTTTAAGAATTATCAATAAAATGCTAAATTCTGAAATATTCTTGTTCATTAAAAGAAAATGCAGACAGTTTATTCATTACATAATTTTTAAATCCTCTTAATATCTTTTAATAGTTTTGATAACAAAAAAAATTTCAGAAATTTACTTCATCATTTTGGATATAAATTATTAAACACTAACATTATTAAACACTAACTATTACAAGTTTATACAATTATTAAACACTAACTATTTGGATATAAATTATTAAAATATCTATACAAACCTATAGCTTTAGTATAATGTCTAGCTCCCAAAAGTAATTCAGGTGCTCGATACCAAAATGTTACTACAACATGGTCCAGATCAGCTAAGGGCTTTAAAGGCTAATTGAATAACCTAACAAAACCTATGTCAGCTACAGGAAAAAAAAATTCTTAATTAAACCAAAAAGATAAAAGTGTTTTATAGTTTTAAAATAAGGAATTGACTAAAGTTATTTTCACAAGTAATAATGATATTTCAACTTTTAACTGACTTCCCTTCTGTATTATTCTAAATATGAGAATTGGAACTTTAATGGAACCTATTTATTTAACTGTCTATAAAAGGTAGTCACTAGTATTAATTATAACTTGTTGCCAGTGATATGAAACTTGTAAAATACCTACAGCAATATCTCTTCTGTTGATAGTTTGAATATAGTGATCTAAAGCCTGAAAAAACTTTGAAGGAAATGCTGTTATGTGATTCCTCTAGTTTAGAAATAAGTTAAAGATAAAAGGCTTAAATCCAAGGATTTCAATTGATTGTATAACACTTCCCAACATGATAGATCAATTTGTTCTTCACTAACATTGTAGGAAGCCCTGGCTGACTCATACCTGCCACATTTTGGTATCCCTCATTGAAGAGATTGATGCACCAACTCTACACCATACTGTAAGGCAATGTCCTACAAGTCTCCAGAAGACATAGATGCAGTATGATCTTTAGCACATCAAATTTCGTTCCTGCAACAGTAGATCAGCTGCTAATGCGCTCAGATTTTATCATTAAGCATGTGTGATTTTGGAAGAGATGACCTTGATTGTTACCAAGGCAATAAGTGTTTGAGATATTCGTAAGTGCTGGCAAGGGTCTTTGAGTCTGTAACCAGATTGTTTTACAACTATGGAAAAAGGTGAACACCCCAAATCAGGATAAGATAGGAAGCTTTGATTGTGTGAAGCACTTTTTAGCTACAACATAACTTTATTTTATAATTATACATAACTTATAATTAAGTAAATCAATAATAAATACATATTATTGCTCCAACAGGGTGCGTAGCCAAATCTTTCAACAAAAAATAAGCACCTTTTAAGTGCTAAAACATTATTTTTAAGCACTAAAAACATTAACAAATGCAAAATAGTTTTTAAAGACTTTTCGTGATCATGATAAAATAACTAGTCATTGATAAAGAACTCTATTTCTTGATTATATTAGTCACCATAAAAAGATTGAGAGTTTTTTTTCCGGTTTCATTTCAGAGGGTGGAAAATGAAGCCTGAAATTCAGAATATCTTGCAAAATGCAGCAGAGTTGTACATGAGAGTGCAAGAATCTCCCCGAACCCAGCACAGTAGATGCACATGCGGACCCGCAAGTATTTGATCAAACCTGTAAAATGATTGGCACTTTCATATGCTACAGACAGACGGCATGCCGAAATACATTGTGCTTGAATGAATGCAAAAACGATGAATAGAACAAGGTGAAAAGGACACTTTTGCATAATACGTGGTGAAAATTGACATGGTAAAGAAAAAATTTTTTATTTTTGAAACGTGAAAATTAAGCCCTTTTTAAAAACACCCAATATAAAAAGCACCTTTAAGAGTTTTTAAAAAACAAACATTGAAAATAAGCACCTAAAAACGCCATGCCACATGTTCAAACTAAAGAAGGAAATTAAAAAATCTACTAATACTTAGAATTGAATAAAATATTTATATAGAAATGATAGCAATGTGACATTATAATCATTATACGATATAAGAGAATTTTATTACTCTTGCTTCTACTACAAAGGAATATTTTGTATTATTTTTGAATCACCTAGTTTTACTCTACCACGCTCAGGACCTTCACCCATAACTAGAATATTTGCAGGTTTCTAAAAGAGAAGAAAAACATTCTAATAATTTAAAATTACTTTTATTGTAAAGCAAAATTTTAATAAATAGTGCAACATAAACTGCTCTTCAAAATAAGAAAACTAAATGAAAAATAAAAGAGGAAAATTAATAATATCAAAATTATGAACTATAAATACATAATTATATAACACAATAAATCATATTTAAAATTGCTTAAACTAGGACAAACATTTTTCAGAAAAATCATTCAAGAAGAAACAATATGTTTTAAAAAAATGAATACTGAAAATAAAAAAATTTACTCATGTTAAATGATCATGTTAGTGATCATGTTAAATGATTATGTTGCATGATTAAATAAATCCAATTGTTTAGGAAAATTTTCAAACTTAATGTGAAAAACATAGCTAAAAACAAGCAAACCTCCAAAATGAAAGAAAATAAATTTAACTTACTAGATCCCTATGTAAGACCCAGTTGGAATGTAAATAATGAATTCCATCTAAAATTTGATATAATAGAGACTTAACCATTCCTTTTGGCACCATTACAGCCTTTTTATTTGCTTTGGCAGCTCTGTGAAATTTTATGATATGCTGAAAGAAAAATACATAATTTTTGAATACTTAGAAAATATCTCTCATTGCAACTTCAGATGCAACTATAATTCATATTGAGAAAATTTTTAAGACATTTTCTTCAATGATTTTAAACATGTTAATGAAAGTACCTTTACCTTCCAAAACAAATAAGTTATTTGACAGTTAAAATTTGCAGAAAAAAATTCTCTATAAGTGCTTAAGAAAACACAACCTACTACGAGCAAGTGAAATACTGATTTTAACTGCTAGATTTATCAAAATTCAAGAACAGGCAAATGAAGTCTCGAAGTTAAACAGCAATTGATAATCAAACTTTTTCTAAGGGTTAATTGTAGAGAAAAGGCAAGTCAAAAGGAAATAGTTTAAAGATTATAAGAAAAAACTATTTGAAGAACATTCAAATAACTATACAAAAAACATTCAAATAGTGCAAAAAAAACTTTCAAATTATGTTTAAAAATTATTCTTGAATAGAGAAAGAAAATAATCCCTTACTCAATTTCCAACTGACAGAAAACAGCTAAAGAATGACAGAATATGTAAAACAGTTTCGACAGAAAGAGTTTTTAAGCGAGAGATAAAAGTTTGCATATTATTTGAAACAATGTAAACAGTAAAAGTTAGAATGACACTTAAGTATCTTACATTGCATTTTGAGCCACAAAGGCTCAATGGTTGAAGGCACTAAATTGTTATTGCAAAAGACAATCCTTGAAGCTCTACTAGCTTCAGCTCGCCTGGGCTCATGTGGGACACATAGGCATCCTGTGAGTAATGTCAATTACATTATTAGAAGGACGCAGTTTGTCTTGAAATTGTGGATCCTTAACTTCTACGATACCCCTGACTCACAGCGAGCTGTTGCAGGGATATGTAACTTTTACATTGAATTCCACTAACTAATGTGTGTAACTACTAATGTGGGTCAAAGAGTAACTTCCGGAAAATTTTAATGCATTGTTCATACCTTAAATTTAAACTTTTCTAAAGAGCAAATACTATAAAGTTATGAACTTAAATTCTATTGACATACAATTGAAAAAAATTTAATAATAGTAATACCAATCTAACAAAGTTGTTTCTTCATGTTGTTCATAAAAGAATTGTACTTCTGAAGGGTATTAATATCCATATTAATACATAAATGTTTATAATTATAATTTATTATCAAATATATATTAGAAAGTTAAGAAATTTCTTTTTGATTCAAGCAATAAAGATGTCCAATTTACAAATATACTAGATATACATTAAAAAACTCCATAACCTAACAGCTTTTGATCTAAAAATACGATTTTTCAAGATTCAATCCTAAGGCTTCAAGAAACATGCCTTTAAATATGCTAATTAGTGTACATCAGTATTTTAAATTACTAAATCAGTTGAATAAAATGTACTTAGAATAAACATACATTTTTTTAGACAGATTCATAATTTATTAATACAAAATATGGGAGTAAGACCATTACAAAAAATATGGTCCAGATGTTTAAAGCAAAAGGCTAGGCTAGGTCTTGTTAGGTCAAAAGAACAATTGAAAATTTTAATCCCTTAATGTAAGTTAATTTTTGTACACTATTATAAAGCTGTTATCAAAAATTAATTCCATGAAGAAAAAAAGTTTAATAAGTTATTTTAAAAATAATCAAAAGCATTTTATGTTGGAAATGTTAGATAGCCTTAAACAAAATTTTTAAAAAAAATATATACAAAATTTATAAGAAATTAGCAAATAACTTTGAGGAATGAAATTTAAAAAAGTTTTACATTTAGGTTTTTTTTTTTTTGGAACTATTTAACTAATTTTATACGAATTTAGATTTTGTCATTTTAAAATTGCAATAATCAAGATTATGCACATAAAAAATAATAATAACAAATATTAAAGCTTATACGTAAAATTTCCTTAGGATTAAAAATCAAATAATTGTTAAAAGTTTAGTCTTGCATATTTAAAACTATAAAATTAATAATTAGTTTAGTAAATTAGTTGTTTACAAAATACTTACAGTGTAACGTCCCTTTTCCGGAAGGGTCGATTTCCCGGACACTTTTTAACAATCAAAATAAACATTTCTTCAGCTTCTAGAGATCTATAATGAAATAATATATNAAAAAAAACGAAGTCTTTTGACAGGTTTTTCCCCTTCTCAGCTTCTAGAGATCTATGCATTGAACCCATAAATCAACAGAAAAGAGAACAGAAGATCTACTAAGACCATGACGCTCCACCTCTGGAAGGCAGGAAAGGGAGCAAAAGAGCACAACTGAGTCCCCTCCCTCCCCCTTCTTTCCTATGCAGCTGGCTAGTAAAAGAGGCATTTCCTGGAACCCTTTTATTTGAGTGTCAGGGGAAGAAGAAATACTGTGAAAAAGGGTAAACACAGCAAATGTTAATGTAGAGGGGGAATCCCCTTTAGTCACACAAGAAAAAATAAAGAGAACCCAATCAGCATGCCATGGGTTTATGCTTGATTGATAGCCAATGATGGGAGAGAAAATAAGAATTTTTCACTACCCCGCCCTCAACTTGAATGGCAAGTAAGGAGGAAATGAATTTTTCTTCTCCACCTACCCACCTACCTTAATGAATGAGGAGAATTTCCCCTTCTTGCTTGAATCGTTCTAGTTCAAAATGGCGGAGAGAGCAATTAATATTTTCATAACTGTGAATTTTTTTCGTTTTCTATATTTATTTTTAAAATAGCAATAATTATTTTTTTTTCTAATATTTTGTTTATGATTGATAAGATATCATTCTAATACTAAAACATTATTGCCCGAAAAATAATGTTTATTTATTTTCTGCTTCTAAGATTCAGATCATTTTAAGCTTTGTTTACCTTGGAGGTCAATTATACGGAAAAATCAAATATACGGACTTCGG